AAGTCGAGGCTTGAATTTTTTCTTCAGTTCCTCCAACATGAGAAATGCTGAAATTACATACAGACTTCAAATAACGAAAAATAATTTAAATTTCCAGTTAAAAAGTACAGGCACTAAAAATGAGAATAGACGCGTGAGTCAAATACTGAGGAATGGATTTCCAAATGGCAAAGTGGAGTCCGGAGCAGTCAATTTCTTCTAAAGGAACTGCTACCTTTCTGGTCCTTTCACTGGGGAATTAGCCTCAGGGACTCTTATCGTCACAGCTTCAGTGATTACAGCAGAGTTGTAGACAGGTGCAGACTACTCTTGTATGTCTGTCAAGCATTTTTTTTTTTTTTTTTTTTTAATTTAAGGTTTTTATTGTGGATTGAGTGAATGAAAGTTTACAGGGCACATCTGTCAAGCATTTTTAAAGGATGAGGTATTTAAAGTAGGTAGTGTATTTGGGGATTATAAGTTATAAACTAAAAACTAAAGCCTCAAATAATTTGTCATAAAACTCTTAGCTCCTCCGTCTTGAGAAATGGGAGAATCTATTAATCAAAGATGTAGTGGGCAACTTAGTCGCAGCAGAGACTTCAGTCTAGAAACGCTCCTGCTCTTTAGCTTAAAAGAAAACGTAACCCTTATGGTGTAAGAATAAATATCAACAATCCTAGCACTACCCAGAATGGGAATGGACCAGTAACTCCCTTTTGAAGTTTAAATCTGCTGGCTCAATTTTCAGTGAAGCTTCTCAGTAAAAACAAACCAAAGTTCATTTGTATTATAAACCCCCTCATCCCCCGCCTGCTTTTCCTCAAAAGATATACGGTGCTTTTCTATCCCAACGTGGCAGAAACAAAGATTAGGAATGAAACCCCGAGACCTACAAGGGGCTACAAATAAAGAATGAGAACCAGACATTCAAAGGGGCAAGAACTCAAACCCTGAAGGTTGGGCACAGAAGCAGGTATTACTGGACCGGTTCTTCACAGTGTCCCAGGTATGACATGGGCATGTTAATGCGTCACATTCACCGATCATACTGTCCCTGTTGAAGACATAGGGCCAATAGAGACAGACCCTGGGAAAGACATGTTGTGAGCTGCTATGGAGCCGGCTCCCGACTCATGTCAACAGCTCCAAGTAAGATCCCCAGTGTTGTAATACAAATTCCCAACTTTTCTGGCAAAGAAAATAAGACAGATGGTCACCAGAAAGTCAGATGGAAGCACTGATGAAACATCTTAGAAATACTTGCTTTTAAGAGGTAAAAACACTAACTTACCTTCTGCACAGTGTTAAATAATGATTTGGAACTGGGTTTTGCGTTGGTTTGCATTGTCGTTTTAGCTAATCTCAACTCCTTTTCACATTGTGCCAATTCCCTTTTGAGTTTCTCTCTTCGTTGTTGGTCTGCATCTAAGGGGAAAAAAAGCCAAATCTTCACACATCATCGAATATATAGAATGAAATAGAAAAATTAAATTTTTGTTTTATAGGACGATAACACAGGGCACATTGTTTTTCTTGCTAAAAATGTTTATACTATTAATAAGTTAAAAATTAATAGCTCTTTCTTTACAAAAATAACGACTCTGGGTGGCATAAACTAAACATGATCGATTGCTAACTAAAAGGTTTGAGGTTTAAGTCCACTGAGAGGTGAGTTGGAAGAAAGGCCTGGTGTCTGCTTCTGAAAAATCAGCCGCTGAATACACTACAGAACACGGTTCTACTTGGGCACACATAGGGTGGCTGACAGTTGTCCCTTTGGTTGACAGGCCCTAACTCTTGGGACTCATTCCTCACTCACTCCTTTCTCTTACACCCTATCCACATGTGAACCCTAAGTAATACAGTTGGCACTCTTTACAATGATTCCAGAGCCAAACCACTTCATACTCCCCCCGTTGTGGCCACTCTGCATTTCTCATCTAGGGAACTGTTTGCTACCTGGTCATCCACCATTATCCCTTAGAGACCACTCCCAATACAGTAGTAGTAGAGATACATCTATGAAGTTACATTGGTTTGTTACAGCGGGACTCAAAATCCTCCAATGGCTTCCGAGTTCTCTTTCTTAGAATAGTGGCCTTAGGTCTACATAACCCACTGCCTGATGTCACACCGGCTCTACAGCCCTGCTTCCTGTTCCTTGACCGTATCAATCATGATGCCACATCAAAGGCTTTGGAATCTGCCCTTCCCCCTGATAAACACATGCCGCCTCCCCCTCAATCCTTTCAGTCTATTCTCCTGTGAAGCCTTTTCCTCTGAGGAGCTCCTAATCTCCTGTTCCTGCTTCCTATTTTTCCACAGCATTTTATCACCACCTGCCAGATTCGGTATTTACTTGTTTGTATTTACTTACTGTGTATCTCTTCTAACTAGATTGGAAACTCTCTAAAAGCAGGTACCTTATTCACATTTTAACTTGAGTCCTTGGAACTAGATACCTTTTCTAGCATGTAGTTTTGTTGTTGAGGGCCATCAAGTCGGTTCCTATTCATAACTACCGTGTTAGGATTGCCAAGAGCAGCTGGTAGATTTGAACTGCTGACTCTGTGGTTATCAATCCAGTGCTCATCCTACAGTGCCACATAGTTCATGAAAAAAATATTTATCGGGCACATACTAACAAGTAAACTCCAATGAAGTAAATAGAATATTAGGCAAAATGCCTGATTATTCTAAATTGGGAAATTTGGATTTTAAATCTACAAGTCTGGTTGAGCAAAAGGATTAATACACTCAGGCTATTTTTGACAAAACCTTTTTAATGACACACGTATGCAAAAGATAAATCTTATTTTATATATTTATTATTCAGAAAATTCACACCAGTATGAATATTTAACAAAACTTTCCCAATTAGACAGAACCACAATTAAGTCGTGGTGTGGCACTGTTGGATAAGCACTGGACTGCTAACCGGAAGGTCAGTGGTTCCCACCTAACAGCTGCTCCTCAGAAACCCTATACAGAGTCTTTACAGCTGCTCCTCGGAGACCCTGTACAGAGTCTCCATGAGCTGGAACCAACTTGACGACACACTCAACAACAACAACAACAACAAACAATTAGCAATTATTTGACCTAAAGACAACCAGGGAAAACTCTTAATTCAAATGATTTGAAAATTTAAAAACCATAAATATTCAACATATCAGTGTTTTGAAAGTTGTCAAAAAGAAATGAAACACAAAAAGATCAAAATCCTAGATATCAATGAACGGAAATGGACTGATATTGGCCATTTTGAACTGGCTGATCGTATCGTTTATTATGCTGGGAATGTGAAATGGAAGGAGAATGACATCACATTCATCATCAAAGCATTCAAGATCTATCTGGAAATACAATGCTGTCTGTGATAGAATAATATCCACATGCCAAAGACCAGTTAATATGACTATTCAAATGAAGAAACTGAGAAATTCTACTAACTTCTTCAGTTAAAAACTGATCAAACATGCAACCAAGATGCACTGACAATTACTGGTGATTGGAATGTAAAAAGCTGGAAACAGAGAAAGGACCAGTCATTGCCAACTATAGCCTTAGTGACAGAAACAGTGCTGGAGATCCCATGATAAACAGAATCTTGCAAGACCAATGATTAATTCATTGCAAATACCTTTTTTCCAATAACACAAACTAGTGACTATACACATGGACCTTATGAGATGGAACCCACAGGAATCAAATCCACTACATCTATCCAAGTGACTGTGGAGAAGCTGAATATCAACAGCCGAAAGAAGGCCAATAGCCGAATGTGGGACAGATCATGGATTTCTCATAAGGAAGTTCAAGCTGAAACTAAAACCAAGTCTGTGAGAACCAAAATATGACCTTGAACATTGTTGCTGTTGTTAAGTACCATGGAGTCAGTTCCGACTCACAGTGACCCTGCACAGGGTTTCCGAGGCTGTAAATCTTTACAGGAGCAGAACGCCTCATCTGATTCTCCCGTAGTTTTGAAGTGCCGACCTTGAGGTTAGCAGCCCGATCTGTAACCACTACACGACCAGAGCTCCTTGAACATGTTGTTATCATTAAGTGCCATCGGGTCGGTTCCGACCCATAGCGATCCCTATAGGGTTTCTGAGGAGTAGCTGGTGAGCTTGAACTGCCAACCTCACAGTTCAAACAGCTTTGCAATCTGGCACATAAACCCACACAGTGCCACACCAGGAGCCTCCTTGAACATAGCCCACCTGAAATTAGACACCATCTCAAGAACAGATACGATGGATTAGACACTAATTACCAAAGACCAGAGGAGTTGTGGGATGACATCAAGAACATCATCCATGAAGAGAGTAAAAGGTCATTAAAACTGTACTTCTTCCAAGACAAATGTGTTTGTTCTTCTGGCAACCTATGATCTATTATATATTTTAAACTTACATTTTCCAAGGGTACTTGGAAACAGGCTTGGTAATATTAAGCGGGAGACATATCCCAAATTTTATACTTTTTTTTATTTTTTATTCTGTGGTAAAAATATAAGAGAACTCCTACTATTTCAACTTTTTCACATATATGATTCAATGACATTAATGATATGCATAACTACATTAGTTTTTGTCATTGTTTAGAAGGACTTTTAGACTGAGTTCTTGTTCCGGCTATAAATTGCATGAATAAAGTTCTGCTAGCCAGTTATAATTTACATCCAGTTTGATAATCTGGTGATTGTAACATGTTATTTTCATAAAGGAAATAATGAATTCTAACCAATACATCCAGTGAATTGTAACTTCGTTTTTGTTGTTTTTTAATGATTTATTGTGCATTATATGATAGTTTACATGAAAGAGCTTTAGTTTTACATTCATTCCATCATATATCATCTCATTGCCATGGTTCCAATCCCCTCCATGCATCATCAACCAACCAAAGGGTATATCCTAGAAATCCGCCCCCTACCCTTCTCCCCCCACTTCCCCCCAGTTTTCTGCCCACAGTCCCTTTCCCTCTCTGGATCCAAAGTCTCCTGCCGCTTCATCACTCCACGTTATCGTCTCTGTCTCTATCTCAGGCATCTCTGTCTCTCTGGGTAGGGTCCTGCTCTCGGCTCTTCTTTGTTGATGGTCCCAGAGATCTCCGCTCCTATTCTGGAGAATTAATCACTCCCTTCCTTGTTAAAAAACGTCTACCTTTGCATTTCCAACCCTCACACTCGGTCCTGATAAGCATTATACACTACAGTATCACGAGTTACCCATCTGTATTTCTTTTCATCAGCTCCACCCAGAAAGATTGAATTGTACCCAGTGGAGATTCTGCCTTCCTCCATGTCTCCTCTTGAAAGCTTATAAGCCAGTCACTTCTTGCCTTTGTAGTCCCCCCTCCCCATTTGAGTATCCAATGTCCCAGTTGCCCATCTCCGTCCACTCTGTGTGTGGAGGGGGTGGGAATGTTTCTTGCTGTAAGGATTTGTTCCTTCTTTTGAGTTGCTGCTCCATAGGTATAGGTCAAGTTCATCAGATTGTATCAACTCACTCTTTTTTTTTCCTTCTTCTTCCCCTCTTCTTTCTTCTCCTGGATGAACTCCGATCATCCAGTCATCTGGTCCAGGTCACGTGGGTATCATCTGCAAGTGTGAGCGCTCCTGTGCTCATGCCCTCTCTTCCTGTCAGCCAGTGGCTCCGCTCTCCTCTCGAGTCCTCCGTGGCCATACCACTGACTCTGGGCCCAAGAGTCCCTAGGCCTCCTCACACTGCTTGCCAACCAGGTCCCCAACTGGGTCCACAGAAGTCCACTGAACATTGTAGGGCTTAGCTTGCCGCTTCATTGCTGCTTTTACCCTCTTTCCCCCATCGGTGATGTGTATGGTCACCAGTCAGAGCGTGCATTTCTGTTGAGTCTTAGTCTTGGAAGGGGGTTTGCGTTGAGAGGACCTGGTCACTTGCCTTGATGTTTCCTAGGGAAGCCATTTGTTTGTTCTTGTAGTAACAGTCTATCTGCCTCCATTTTTCCTGCAGGTCTTTCTTTCAAGAGGTATCTTTTATTCT